ACAAGTTAGAAACTTTTGTTGAAGAACAACATACACAAGAAAACTATCGGAGTGGTTGCATTCTGCGTTTACTCGAAAGCAATGTCTTCAAAGGATAGCGTTTACCTTTTTGCGTAGTTAGGTTGCATCAAGATTGTTACAGACATTCCGGAACTTTCTATTCAACTCGTTGACATTTCGATCACGCTGACAGCAGAGTGTCCAGTCGCATTTGATACAGAGCGACCTTCTCGCTTTTACGTTAAGGGCGCTGATGGCCGCTCCCAAAACGTGTTGCAGAGATCCGGAGAGTTCCGTTGCCATCTACTTCTACATCGTTCAACTTCACTGTCGGCGTGCTGCGCCTACTGGGGCCGTATGCTATACTCCCCCTCGAGGGGACCCCTCCCCTTGAGGGTGAGTATAGCATACGGCCCCTGGTGTGGACTCCTTCTGAAGGTCTTTTCGGTGCATCACAAGGAATTTGAGATAACTTCTGCTGTTCAGTTTCAATCACGTGAGAAAATGATTTCGGATTCCGATGTGATACACGCAAAAGCACCACCAGTTCCGGATACGATTGCTGCGGCTCAGCTCACTGGACCTTGAAACGGTGGTATATTCGAACTACTTGAAGAGTCCAAGCCCGAACTCCCTGGAGAGTTCAAGTCGTTTTGGTGCATGGCAATCAAACACCTTACGTTAGAAATCAATGGTTGCTTCAAGATGATGTGAAGGGTTAGCTATTCTAAAACAACCCTATCTCAAACCGCAATATTGAGGAATAGGCCAATGATCAATGGAATGAAACTCGAAGCCCACATCAATAATGTTCAATAATAAATATTGTCCTAGTCCTGCCCCCACAAATCCAATCCGCAGCCTCAACGTGGCGTGGGGAACGGTTTGAATTGTCTCAAACAGTAGCAGCGTGGAGGGTGCCACGTTAGAGCCTTGCGAGCTACGCGTGGTCAAAATTTACGCCAAAACAGTAATGAATATGGGCCTCATTCCCCTGAACCTGAGGGAACCACCGACAGGGCGACGTCGGCTGGGACCGCTCGGGCGAGGCTGCAAGAATCACAGGGCCAACGGAGATTTAAGTCGCCCAGGACTAGGATGACGATCTGTACTTTCAACGCACGGACGCTTGCATCGGAAGCTCACATCGAAGATCTGATGTTGCAAGCCAGGAAGATCAAGTACGACGTCATCGGACTGACCGAGACGAGGAGGCATCGCCCGCTACACGCCGTATACGAGACTGGAGAAGAACTGTTCCTCGGAACATGCGACAGCAGAGGCGTTGGCGGTGTGGGCGTCCTCGTCAACACGCACTTGGCCATGAACATCGATTCGTACGAAAGTCTGACGACCCGAATCGGACGTTTGCGATGAGAAGATGTGGTTCAACTCCAGCTTTGACAATCTTCGTCGCCTACGCACCAACATCAAGCTACGACGAGGATGAGCTCGAAGTAGGGATTGAAGAATTTCTACAAGGAAAACCATACCATACTATCGAAACTCACGGAATGGAATGGAATGAGCAGGGTGAAAGGCTGTCTGAGTTTATCATGTCGACCCATACCATCCATGGTAACTCGCAGTTCCAGAAGCCCTACTCTCTACGCTGGACATGGGAGTCTCCTGGTGGACAATTCCATAATGAGATCGACCACATCATCTTCAATCGAAGGTTTTGCCTGACCGATGTCGCTGTTGTTCCTAAGATTCTACACGGGACCACCAACTCCTTTGTGCAACATTCCGCTTTTCTATGCAAGGTCAGAGATTTTCAAGGCGTCCGCAACATCCGCTGCGATTTCGCCAAGTGTAAGATGCAAGATGTTCGGCCTCCTACTCCGGACGGAACAATCACTGCATCCGAAGGGCAATGGAGAAGGTCATCCACGACTTCTACTCTGATCTCTTTGACAGCCACGTCCACCTGCACCATACCGCTTGGAGCAGGATGGATATGTCGTTCCTTTTCTCCCTTCCGAAGTCCGACACGCCATCTCGTCGGTGAAGAATCGTGCGGCACGCGGTTCCGACAGGATGAGCCAGTGGAAAATGGTACGGTCGCGCCTCGTTGATGATTTCTCGCACCTACGCTACGAGACATTATCAATGAGGTGTGAACTACCTCACTAAGCAGAGGAACGTCGTGCTTAAGTGCGACGGACTTTGGTTTAAGATGCTGCTGAGCTACCCAATGCTGATAAATTGATTGAAAACTGTCATCAGATCACGAAAAAAACTTGAGGCTCACAAAAAAGACTCAGATACAAAATGCCAGCACCATACTGCCAGTCTGAATGGAATCGCAGTGTGCCTAGCTGTAAAGTGGCCATCAATAACAAATGTCATCTCAATCATTCAAATCAGTAACGAGAAGCTTACACAAGCGGATTCAGCTTGGATTTTCTTCCCAAGGTCACTTCGACCTTCTGAACACGATTATCACATCTTCATCTGGAACCGCCAGGCGCCCGAACCGTAGGTGTCGGCTCCAAAATACACCAAATCACCGGATTTGAAAACCTGTCCCCAGGACTTGACCTCCTAAGTATGACTAATCCATTATTATGTCTGCCTAGCTCAAGACTGATAGCGCCCGCGAGCCAGCGCCAGAATGAAGTTCATTGAAACTTGCCCCCAAGGATAACTTGATATCCTGAGCACGAACATCTCCATGGAATACCAATAAAATCAGACAAGGAGGAAAGGGACTACACGTGACAGCACAGTCCGCTTGTCTGCACCCTTCTTTTAAGAAAGCAGTCTCCTTCTTTGCAGAGGCTGCTTCTTACTGTTAGTGAAGTGAGGGACCATTATCGCAGCAACCAGAGAGGAAACTGTCTCATGTGGCCGTGTCTGTCCATCGTCCCCACCACTTCGCTCGGCACGAAACAGTCATGAGTCCGCGCTACTCGCGCCAGAGTCGCAACAGCACGTGGTGTTGTGCCTGTAACGCGAATGGTTAGCAAACTCGGGCCGAAGGGATGTGGCAGTCGTCTTAAAGAGGCCGAACCACCCGTGGATATAAGTCTTAAGCCAAATGTGCTCAGGGGGAAACTTCGATAAACAGCTGGCCCACTTCCGAGAAAGTGGGCATCAAAAGGTAACAGTGCCCACAAAGAATATATGAAATGTATAACAATATCTTCATTCACATTACTGTATTGATGCTGATTTGTAGGAAGCTCGATGGCCTAAGGGTCTTTCGCAGTTGAGCTGGACGTTTCTGAGCTCAGTGAGGTCGATTCGCACCTCGCCAATAACGCCTCGCACCCTAGCTGCGAGAGGTCATTAACGAGGTGCGATCGTGCTGCAATGGGCCTACACGGATGGCGTCGTTCCTTCAGTTCTCCCTCAGTCCGACACCTCATCTCGTTGGTAAAGACAGGATCAGATCTGAACATCTGAAGAATCTTCGCCAGTTCTCGTCAGAACTCTTGAACTCTTCACGCGCTACCTGTCGGAATGCAAGGTACCCACCTCGTGGAAAACCAGCAAGACTGTGTTGCTGTACAAGAAGGGAGATCTGTACGACATTGGCAATTATTGCCCAAACTTACCATCTTCACTTTCCGGACAAATCGTTCTGGTAACACCAAACATCGAGCAAGCGGAACGAATGCTGGCTGATTTCGAAGCGAGTCTTTCGTCTCTTTCGATAGTCTATTTCGTCTAAAATCAGTCTGCAGCTGAATCTAGTGAAGACGGTGTCAATGAGGAACTGATTGGTTCCACGCTCAAGGGAAAGAACATCTCTGTAATGCTTTAGCTATGTGTACCTGGGTCGTGAAATCAATATGATGAATGACTTAGCACCAGAGCTGAGCAGGAGGAAGCGAGCGGCTTGGGGAGCCTTCAAGAACATCGAGGGAGTAGCGAAGAAGACGAACATAGCCAGGCTTTGAGCCCCCTTCGCGTGGTCCTTCGCGCTTCAATTTACGCCTCAGAGACTTGGACTCTATGGAAGCAGGATGAGCATGCGGTTAGCGTCATCCAACGCGCTCATCGAAAGGGCAATGCTCGGAGTTTCCCGCTACACGCAAGTGAGAGAGGGAATCCGGAACTCCGCCAACGATCGAAGATCAGAGACGCCGCCGCATTTGCCAAGGTTTCGAAGATCAGGTGGGCCGGGCACGTCATGCGTTTCGAGGACGACCGCTGGACCAGAGCGATCACCGATTCCACGGGATGTCAAGCGAACGCCTGGACGACCGCCTATGCGATGGTCAGACTTCTTCGTGAAAGCTCTGAACGAATGGTATGAAGTTCATCGTGTCCCTCGAGCAGAGAGAGTCACAATTGGACAAATCGGGGAGGACGAATAGAGACGTTACTGGCGCAGCGCCACCTTACAAGATACGGCCCTGGTTTGCCGGGCGGGCGCGGTTCCGCCGCGCATTTCCACACGTTTCAATACCCACCTAGTATCCGCCCCATTGTTGCCTTATCTGAACAGATGGTCAACATTCTTTGACCAATAGCATCATACCTGCTATTTTCAACACTATTTGTATGGAATGGTGGTAAGGAGCGTTGATCAAGTGGACAGATGAGAGAAAAGCCGGGTATTAGTCGAGCATTTGATCATACGAATGCAGGTAGGCGCGATGGAGCCACGCCCCGCAAAGCCGGGCCGTATCACAGAGGAGGTCTGGAGTGCCTGGAGTGCTCTGGAACCGCTTTAGGATTTTTAAGACTGGCTCCACCCACCTTGCCGCACGCTCCGCCACAACGGGTATGCCTCACACTTGTGAACCGGTGACCCCCTCGATGACCTTAACCTACTTTTTCCCAGTGTATGGAGTGTTGTGGAACCGTTATAAGGATTTTCTAATTTGGCTCCGCCTTTTTCGACGCCCACAGCGGGTGTGCCTTACACTTGTGGACCGATGACCCTCGCTGATCTTGAGCTACTTCTCCCCGGTGTCTGCAGTGTTCTGGGGGCGTTTCATGAAATTTTTTCAATTTGGCCACACCACCCACCCGGCGACACTCCGCCCACAACGGGATTGCCCGCACATCCCAACATGTACTTTTTTGCGCCGTCTTTAGTGTTCTAGAAACAAACTACGGCTTTTTTGAGCTGGTACCTCGTGTTCAAATGCACGCCCTGCCCACTGTGGGCGGGCCTCAGCACGCCCAAACATGGTGGACTCTTGCCAGATGTTCATCTTCGTCATGGACTTTTCTGCGATCTCTAAACATTTTCGGGACCGAGTTACCGACCTTTGTGGGAAGCGCCGCCCATCTCAAGTACGCCCCGCCCATTTCGGGTGTGTCTCCTCCATTTGCTCTGCCAACCCAATGCTAACCTTATTCCACTTTTTCCCGTCTCCGAGCTGCTTTGTAGCCAAATTATGGCTTTTTTCAGTGACACGGAAAGCGCACCCATCTCAAATAGACCGCGCCCGTTTGTGTGTCTCCTCTATTTGGTCTGTCAGCCTTTGTTAACTTTACTGCACTGTTTCCTCATCTCGGGACTGCTCTGGAACCGAGTTATGACTTTTTTCAGTGACATCGCTAACTTTTGGCGCACGCCCGCCCACTGTGGGCGGGGCTTACCATGGGTCACTGGGTGCTATTTACATATTGTCCCATGCCCTATCCCATCCCCACCATGACCCGACCCCTCCAAGTTCTTCAGGTGCTATGAATTTCGTGACAAACAGAACAGACGGACACACACATGGACGTAGGCGCCCTACAGCCGCTCGCTCACGTGATTGTTATATGTGTTCGTAGGCAGGCCACGTTGTACGTTGGGAATCCCAGCCGGGGGTGGGGGTCGTATTTGGTTGCTGGGGAGGGGGATGGTATTTGCCATTGAGCCTTTGAGAGAAATTTGCGACGCTGGGATCCCGGAAAACTGGGGAAACTGGGAGCAGTTTGGGAAAATCTGGGAGAATAGTAGGTAGCATTTGAAAGGGGGGGGGGTTGCGTCAGAGGATGGAGTTAGGGTGAGGCATATTTTCCGAAAATTGTCCCCTAAAGGCAGCCGGTTGCCCTAATTGTTGGTTACGTCTACGTGATCATTGGCATACTAGAGCGAGAGTTCTGCGCGCCGCCTCCGGATGACATCCTAGCATTATACCAATACTTTTGTAACTTGTCATGTTTTTTGTGACGGGCTCTCCATCAGCGAGCCTGTCAACCTGGGCCTGACACTGGTATCGGCATCCAGCCTACACTCTCGACCCTCTGCCCAAGCCTACACTCTTGACCAGTCAGCTATCCCTGCCTCAAGAAGTATGCGGTATCAAAAAAGCGAAAAAAGCAGAATGGCGCTCACCTACTAAATTTGGAGCGTTCGTTATTTTTCGAACCCTCACCGCGAATACTAGAGCTTGCAGCTCTTTCGTACAGCTCAGCACTAAATGCCGCCGAACATTAGGAGTGGTGTAGAAATAAAGATCGTAACGTTTCGGAATCCTATGGGACCTTCAAAGACCACATCAGTGACTTCCGATACCATAACGTGGCGGAGTATTTTGAACTAGCAAAGCAATCTCTCTTGCCAACCTCTCAAATGAAGGAAAAAAGCTAGTTCACATTGCTTTCCCCTTCAATGCAGCCTTCAAGAAAAATTCACTTGAACTGAACTCATCAGTCAAAAACTGGCTCGTGGGCGCAAGTCAGTTTTGGTGTTGACCTCCGTAAGCAGTAGCCACAAAAACGGCTGAAAGATCGCAAGCAGTATGAAAAAAGTGTAGCTACCAAGAGAGTAGAGGGTCAAAGAACTGCGACACAGTATAAACGGATTCACAGATATGGTATACAATAAATGGGACCAAAACAAAGGAAAACATAGAGATTTTATGAGAGGCTACGTTGCACGTATCGCTCCGAAGCGGATTATCTGGAGGGCCCCTCACGGAGTTCTTTTTTAACAGCCATAACTTTCTCAGAAAGACCACCGGAAAAAAGGAAGACGGTTGTGAGCCAGATTCTCTTTTTTGAAAAACGCCGAAGTATCCATAAACGTAGAATAATTTAGGGGAATATGCATTCTTGACAACGTCAAAAATTACGCGCGAGTTTTTGTGTTCGAACGATGGTAATCTTCTTCCCACGCAACCGATTGCAAACACGAGAGCAGTTTGGAAGAGGAAGATCTCTTTCCAAGGACCGCTCAACTTCCTAAATTACCACTGCATTATCACATGAATCTCTGCGATTCATGTGATAATGCACTGCTAATTTATAGGGGTGAAACCTCTAGCTGCTCTAAAAAGTCGCTTCTTTTGTACCATTGCATTCGAACGCATCTGGATACCCAGTACGGATACAGAACAAATAGACTGATAGAAAAAAGCAGGCAGTAGTTTATTTAACGCCGATTATCCTCATCTCAAGATACTACGTGTTAGGAGTACAAGCAGAGGTGGTGGGATGGAATAACTTTCACATAGTGTCGGTCCGTGCAAGCAGATATATCCATAGGATTTAGAATAACACATCCATAGTATCTAGAAACGTGTTCACGCTGTAATATTGACTCACCTACCTGCTTACGAATCAATGTGAACCTATTGCTATTATTGATTTGCTGTTGCATTTTTGCGATATTCTTCACCAGATTCGCGTTTTTACAGCACAGGTTTCGCTGCTCACAACTCATCAAAAGTGCAAGAGAGTTACAGAAGCAAATCTGGTTGAATTCAGTTGAGAAACGGTGGACTTGACTTGAGAAGTTTTGAATTTGGAATGAAAATGGTTTACACGGATAGTGAATATAACGCAGACACAATACTTGCGCATCACACGTAGATTACAAAGAACGCGAGACCTCCAACCTCATTATACGTCAAACGATCACTCTTCTCAGAGTGACACATAATCGATTAAAAGAGAATAACAATGAGGCATAAACGTTATGATGGGCGTTATCTACGGGAGAGGATTGTTAGAACCACGCAACGTCTCATGCGAGGCAGTGCAAAAACCGTATGCTTGTAATGGAACGCGAGAGGCGATTACTCACAATGTCGCTTATTCGATGATTCACCATATTGAGCTCGCTTGATATCATGATGTTATTGTGCTCGCTCTTCGTTATAGTACGTTATCCGTTAGTTAATGCAGTGAGTACGTTGCAGGGCAGCCCTCGACCGAGGCTTCAGATTTCGTTTTAGCAAGGGTCTGTTAGAGTTTCAAAACTTTCACATGTAAATGGTGTAGTGTGTGTGTGTTATAATTTTCTTTTGAGCATATTACAGCATTGTTGTGTGATGAGCTCCGATCATTTCAAAATTTCAACTGTTCGTTTTTCAACTTCTCTGTTGGTCTTACGCATACAATAATAAAAAGCGAGCACAATAACATCATAATAATCAAGCGAGCCACAACCTGGCGAATATACATTGTAACGATATTGTGAGTCATCGCACACTTGCGCTCCATTACAAGCATACGGTATTTGCACTGCTGCGCACGCGACGTCATGTGGTCCTACCAACACATACCCGTTATCTGTCCCACGTTTTTGGGCTAAAGACAAAAAATGTTCACGTATTTTTGTAGATTTCCTTTCCTTATTCCTTCCCATAAGAGGGGCAAAAAAAGACACTTCGCCTGAGTCACATATCACTAAAGTTTACGCAGCCTAGAGAGGACGTGGATACGAGTACCAGAGCAGAAGATATAGATATCCAAACTGTTCCTCGGTGAGCAAAAGCAGGCTCCTGTCCATTACCTTCATGTGCACCAAAAGTAAAGCCATGTGCAATGCAATGAAGTGATGAAGGCCTGTGGAATTCACGTCACCTCCAAACAGCTGCGAAACTTCTTGTATCGAGTCACCCATGGACAGCTACCTGGGGACCGGCACTCTTGATCTGGAAGACCTCCAACATCGAGCAGCTCCGACAACGTCGCTACGGTCCAGGATATCATCTTCACTGCAGTCGCCAAGGCGCGGGTTGATGGTATGGACCGGAAGTTCCTGGAATGGGAAGACCGATATTTTCTTCGTGGACCCCGGACTGAAAGTGAACGCTGACTGTTACATCGAACAGCTCGAGGAAATCTGCCTTCATGTCGTCGCCTGTACCATCTTGGAAACTTCGTACTGCTACAGGATTGGGTGCCAGCACATGGAATCGAAGGGCGTTGGAAAAACTCTCGCCTACTTGGAATCGAAGGGCGTTGAGTAAGTAAAGAAGACATAATACCTAAACTCCCTTGATTACCGGCTTCGGGTGGAGCTCAACAGGGTGGTCTACAGTGGCGGAGAAATCAACGACCTCGCTGAACTCAGGCACCGAATCACTTTCGCGTGGCAGAATCTCTCGATGGCGTTCGTCCAGAAGGCTGTGGTGGAGTTTCGTGATCGTGTGCAATGCGTTGTTGAATTTGATGGTGAAAATGCTCAATCAGAATTCAATAAAGTGTAAGTTATATCGCCTTGAAAATCGAGAAAAAAATTGTTGTTTTTCGCTTCCAGCTGTATATAGAGCCCTTCTTAATTTGTTCCCAGTGATTAAGAGAGCGTAATGGAGACATTTAGCTCCGGCAAAGGTGACCGCTTAGAGTTTCGTCTTTAGGTGAAGGCTGCTACCGTACCATGAGGAAAGAACAGTCGTGAAATGAGGCAGCTCTCGAATGTGTGATACTAATCTGAAACGTGGGGCTTCAAAACAGCCTCCGGCCTGAAACTCCAGAGGAAGTAGGTGATTTACAATGCCTTTATGTCCGTAGATATCGATTGGCCTCAGAGCCAATCTTCTAAGCTCTAATGAGGACGACACGGATCATGCACCACAAGATTCACCATTTGTACTTTAGGCCAATTTTTAGATCATTTAGGTCGCTTTTCGCAAAAGCTATAGCAAAACGTTCACTGCGACCGGAAAATCTGCTTCTCGTGCCAAACAGTTCTATACATTGACCGGTTTGGTGAGCTGATTTACCTTAGTTATGAAGTTCTAATCATTTCAGCACTAGCTTTAGTCGATTTAATCGCTAAGGAGTGGTATTATGGTGTCCGAAAAGTTTTGGAGAATTTCAACTACCTTATTCGATATTTATCAACAACGATAAGAGTTAGGAACTCATAGTTATAGTGAACATTGTCCATTCCCATTCCCTTGAACTTTTGAGCGGGATTACATTGCGTGGGAGCTAGAATGAAATGAGTACCGAGAATGCGGAGGGAGTACGCAACAGTTAAGTTGAACTTCCACGTGAGAAACCGAGTGATTTCCTATTACAGATAATTTTTGAGGGCATCTGATCCAGCATCGGTGACGGTGCCTCATTCTCGATTTGACCGATAGAGCAGCCAGAACGGTGAAGATGAAGTGAAAGGCGCTGGGAGTCGTGTGCGCAGTGCATTTTCCAGGTAATGTCAACTCACACCAACAATGGACAATAACATAAACTAGTTAGGATTGATTTACAGCTATTTCTCTTTCTTCTAGCACTTTAGTACATGACTTTTTGTTAGAGCATTTGCTTGCTACGCTTTTTCAAACTAAAATTTGACATTTTCTCAAAACTCTCCGGACAACCTAAGAGTTCTCCATCAAACAGGAGAATATTCCTAATTTTGGGCTGAAGTGACAATGTATTTGAATTTACATTAATACACTACGATAGTGTGAAACAATTGCGGAGGAGAAGCAGGTTGAATATAAATGGCAGATATTGTGAATGGTTATTCCACTACAGTACACCACAGTATCTTGCAATGTCACCTCGGTTAGGGTCAACGATTACTTCACTACATATTGCACTATCCCACAATATCACCTTGGTTCAGGTGTAGATAGATATCAGTTACAAAAAAGAAGTAGTATTATAACAAATGGCTCGAGAGATCATATATTCGAATTTCCCGAATGGATCGAACTTTCAGGAGCCGGATATTCACCACGGTGAACCAAACTCCTGAAAATTTGAGCGTCTCTGTCTCCATTAATAAATATATGGAGAACATGAACTCACGCTCACGAATTTTTCTGATATGAATCATCAAGAATAAGTATTAACTCTCGCGAATTTTCTCAGAACATTCTGACATAGCGTATTTTCCATCTTCGAGCTTCACTGAGCATACCCTTATTCAGATAGTGCCGCCAGGTCTCGATGTGAAGCCTATCCGTGTAGATACACATCGTCATCACCCGAGAGAGCACAGGGAAAGTAAGCGATAGAAAAAAATTGGAAAAAAATTGCCACAAGTCGGTAAAAAAAACTGCAAGAATCACGACTTCTGGGAGCAACACAGTGACAGGGCGCAATGCTTCTCACTGGTTCTTCCTCATGATTTCTTTCAGCTTGGTCACCTCGTCATCGGAAAATTCCATCCAGAACGGTCGCATTGGCGGTTTCCCCGTACGTGTGTGCTCGTAAAATAAGGTGTACCTAAACATCTTCACAGTTTAGCCAATCCTAAAGCAGATGAAAGCCTTTGAACAGTGAAAAGCGTCGTATAATTTGTTGCCGTGCACTTCGTCGAAAAGTCCAATTACCAGTAAGGAAGCATCTGGTAGCGCTGTTTAATGGCTCTGCGAATGGCATCGGTGGTCGTTTGATTGAAAAGCCATGGCTCTCGTCGATTCGAGTCCAAATGAGCATGAGCGCGGAAGAACGGCTGGAACGCACCAGCTTGATACCTGCAGATTATGACCATTATCACGATAAACTTGCACTCTTTCGGTATCCTCCCTAGTGTTTCTGCTACAAAAGTGTAAAATTGCATGATTGCCGATATGACGCTCATTTTCCGGGTTCGAAAACGTGAAAGTACAGGTTTGGACAGCAAATTGTTAAATCACGCAGTATTATTGTTCTTTTTTTTGGAGAGAGGCCTTATGATCCAAGAAATGTTGAGTGAGTGAGGAACGAAAAGCGTAGCAGTATCCTGCGTATCAGGAGGCGGAAAGCATCTTCATCGGGCTTGTTAGAAGTGGAAGCAGATTGCAGAAAATAGAACGAAGAATGCAGTCGTACGGCAAAATGAGTGAACGAGGAAAAGACAGTTTGCATAGGGTTGTACAAAAGTATGGATAATCCTAAAAATCTACGTCAACTTGCGATTTCAAGCTTCGGGAGCTGAATGCATGGGGCATAAAAAGATGAGTTCAGTTGATACCGGACAGATCCCTCGCTCTCGCATAGCATCGCGGCGACTGATTGAATTGAGCCATGTCACTTTCGATCGACATCCTTGGGTGCATTCATTTTTCAGTAAAATCGTCTTGAAACTATTAAGGCATTTGAGCCGACAATCCAGATTCTGCTTCACCCATGTCAGCCTCCAACGAAGACGATGGCCGTAACGGAAGCCTAATGAAGCGACAAAGATATTCTACGTGCCAAGGTTTCAAGAAAGTCGTACATAGACAATTCCTAAAATATTTGCTAGTCATATTGAGGAAAAGATGCGTTCCAGAAGTATAGCCAGGTCATTCAGCGGATGTACTTGCTATGATGCAGAATATATCGGTTTGTCGTTCTGAAGCAAGTTATTGTTGTGCGTTCAGAGGTCCTTGCGCAGATTACTGGCCAGGGTTCATAAAGGGAACGGATGTGACTGCGGTGTCGTAGGACCATCTGAACGCAGGTGATCATGGCTCTGCTTACAGGTCTTACCCTTGAGTTTGAATTTCGCTCCTGATACTGCTACAGTAGTGCAGCTTGTTCTTCAAGTGTACTCCTTCTTTCAGTTAGTAACCTTAGAGTCATTCGTGAAAAGGGAGAGATTATTCTTTGGCTCGTGGTATTTCATTTCTAATTGTTCTGATATCCTCTGAATCTTCACAATTCAAGAATTATCTTTGTTCGGTACGAGATGGGCGAAATGAAAACAACTGAAAACACTTTGTTACGCTCTGGCCAAAAGAACTTTCTCAGTACGCAGTTATTTGCAAAATAGGAGCACCATTTGGATGTGGTATAGCTCTGCTCTCCAAAACATGTTTCACTTTTTCTCGAAACTAGCCCAAGAGATATGCACTCTGTATGAGTCTCCGATGTGCGTCCTTCTGAGTCACAAAAAAACTCGGTCCTTTCAGTACATTCGAACAAAATCATTTGAAACAACAGATGTCATCAAAGCGTATCTGCGTTGAGTTGGCTGAACTAATTATTTGCTTTTTATCGATGGATCTTTTCTGATTACCTTCTCTCTTCTAGGTGCCGTGTAGTACTCTTACACCTAGGTGTCTGAAAGGTGTAAATTCCGCATAACAGCTCCCGTGCATGCCGATATGATCCAGTAATTCAGAAAGTATCATAAATTTGCTATCTTTGGTTCACTTTTTTTGGTACTGGCCAATCACCACCAGATAGCTCATACGTCCCTGATAGATTCTCCCCACGATTACATGCTTTGTTTCCAACGATTTCCTACTTTTCCTGCTCCATTACTGAAAAATCTGCTCTACGTGTAGAGTGGTGGTTGTCTTTACGTTTCCGTTCTGCTAGGTCACTCCACACCTCAACTTTCCTTTTTTTTGTTGCCTTATCCTAAGATGGTGCAGTTTTCCTCCCAACTTTCCTCCTTTTTTTGTCCTCTAATCCTAAGATGGTGCAGTTTCCTTACCTCAGTGGTGTTTTTCATTCTACGCAGAAAGCAACCTGGAGCTTTTTAGGAATACCTATTTTTTCATTCATAGCGCATCCATAGGATGCATTACATCAAAAGGGCGATAATGTGAATTAAAGGTCATTAAAGACAATTCCCGCGATCAAGTGTTCGGGTATTTGGACTCAGTCACGAAACAGTGGCCCATTTGTAACCCCAGTGGAAAAAAAATCGAAAAAAACCTCGCGAACACCCTGAACACAGACCTCCCTTTAGCAGTGGGGGCGGGGCCTGGACGAGTGTGCCGGACGTGGCTGCCAGAAATCGATGCGGCAGCCGCAATTGCGTCCCGACTTTCGAAATAGGATACTTTAAAGGGACGGAAGCAGCTCGGGACCGGACGCCTCGTCCACCTACCGTGTCAGCGAGCCTAGCGAGCCTTGTGGAAATCGCTATAACTTCCTTATCGCGCCATATTGAGGGATGAAAGTGGTATCATCTTCGTCAAGGCGTAGAGGGTTCCAAAAAGCACGAAGTCATTTTGAGGACCACTTGATCGCGGGAGTGTCTTTAAAGAATTAGTGCACTGCAGTCAGATAAGATAAGGGGTGTTGCTTTGCTTCTATCCAGAGAAATCACTGTATTCCGTCAATCCACTTGAGTCCGTCAATCCCGTGAGGCTCCTTAGCGAAGATAAGTCCATAGGACTCACAGAATCAAAAAAAAATTCATTGAACACAAATACTGAAGCATTGAATATAAATATAAGTAATAAATACGAGCATTTGTAGCAATAAAATAAACAATTAGAGAAAAAGGAGAGCCAGGAGCCAGAGTAAAATTTAAAATTAGGCAAACAAAGGCTAGGTGCTTAAGGGAATGGTATTCCTGATAGGCCACTATTTTGAAATTCAGTGACACCGTTGCGCAAGTAAAATAATGCATTGTACGAATGATGGATGATCATCTCGTTACAACATAGACATATAGAAACAAAATAACTGGGAAGGAAACATGTTTGTGTAAATTAAGTTAAAGGATAAAGGATAAAGGATAAAGTCTTCGCCGTTGATCAATCCCTTTGTGGGATGCGGCACGCATTCTACTTCCATTCAGAATCGTAGTGGCTTATTGAATGCGATGTGGCCTATACAATGACTTGCGGTGGCCAGCCGATGTACAAGTCAGTGTTTTATCCTCCCAGACGAATCTGGTACCAATTTACCGTCCCCGGGGTAGAAGGCTTGGTTGGCCTGGGCGGGTGTCGACCTGGGATTCGAACCCAGGACCGCGCGAGTGGTGAAGCGCGCCACTTGTCACTACACCACCTCCGCCTCAAATTAAGTTACAATAAATAATAAGTTGAAACCAGTGGCAGAACGATATTTGCGTACTTCTTCAATCTAATATCCAAATTGTCCAAAATTTCAGAATGACGTAAACAGTTGAGGAAGAAGGGTACACGACCGTGCTGATGATACGTATTGAGTAAGTGTAAGGAACCGGCGCAAGAAACGAAGAGGGAAGAGTGCAATTGAATACAACAAGAAAAGATAAAAGCGTTATTGATAGATGAGATAAACATTGAAATAGAGTATACGAGGTTTAAAGATGCGAAGAATACGGTTTTTTTGAAATGAATACCAGTCCTCTTCAAAGACAGAGGAATCTCGGTGTGTTACCTACCTTTGGATAAGTCAGTACCCAGTGAAAAACATCTGCGTTATTTTGACATGGCAATCAAAAAAGCGTCGAAAAGGTACTGTTCATTTCACGTGCTTCCGTATATTTATTTCAAACTGCCGTATCAGCAAATATTTCGCGGAGACTAGAACTTTACACAAAATTTAAAGGGAACAAGCTATCCGCATTGGACACACACTAGCGGACATTTGTCTCGGTTAACCTGTTATTTCCCAATACCCATTTTTATTTCCAACTCATATCGTACCAGCTCTAGGCAGGCTCATTTATTTTCAAATGCAAAGAAACTGTAGCATGTACTGCGTCCACGATACTGCTCCCTGATTAAGTTTGCTTACCAGGGAAGGTCAACAGGTCGCCATGGCCATTCAAGATGAGATGCATATCGACGTGTAGGTCTTGGGACGCTGAACTCAAATCTGCTTCCAAAATTTGCCGAACGATTCTCTATGAGGAGTTAGGGGGTGGTGGTTTTAGCATAGCACTCGCCGATCCTCCTTTGCGTAGCTCAAGTTAAGTTCGAGTACAGACAGTCTCAAGTGGTCGATGGTGTAGTGGATAGGTAAGTTGCTTCATAGGTGGGAGGTCATGGGTTCGATTCCTTGACAGGTTCGGATTTTTGCATTTTTTCGGAACATCTTCTGCGAGTTCAGAAAATACTTTTATCCGTTTCTTTGTCAACCTTGCTCTTACTTGCAGCAGAAAAAGACTCAATTGCCGGCAATTCTGCTTTCGCTTTGAAGAGTTTTAGGCAGTGTTTTTACTGCCCAAATCACCCGAAAGCAGGCCAGTTTTTGCCGACTTTTTTCTTCGTGAGCAGAATTGGCTGAAAAGTTGCCTACTAGGGTAGTCTGCCCATCTGAACATGATTATCACATCCGCTCGGCACGAAACCTCCTCGCACCCGTGTCACAGGCGCCAGCGCCAAAATACCCTAGATCACCAAGTTCGCTGAAAACTTGTCAACTGGGGTAGTTTGACCTCCTGGACACAAATATCCCATTAGCTGAGCCCGGAAATGCCTGGCGCCGGCGCCAAATACTCGAAATCACCAGAATCACTAAACTTTTCAACTGGAGCAGTTTGACCTCCTAACACGAACATCACATCTGTATGGGGCGTTGAGAATGTTTGGGATAGAGAAAAAGGGATAATGTGATTGCGCAACCTGCGTCTGCACCCTCCCCTGAGATGGGGCCCTTTCTCTGCAGGCTGAACCTCAGCAAAGGGAAGGATTTCTATGACAGGCAACCAGGAAGAGTGGTGCGTTACTTCGGCCAATTTGCCCAACTGCCCTAGCACAGAGCCTCGCACGAAAGCGACTGGAGTCTGTGCTACACGCGCCGGAGTCGGAACAAGCCTGTGATGGGTCGCTTGTGGCGTATGCGTCAGGCGGTTTC